CTGTTTGACGACATTCGTTCGTGATGGATGATATCACATGCTATTTTCTGACCTTTTGCCAATGTCTGGACGTTCCAAACTTTCCTCAAAAACGTCTGTTCGATTAAAGAACGTTTAGCTTGAGCCTAACGAAGCATTTCCCGTGTCACGGTGGAAAGATTTGTCGAGCCTCACGCAAAATTTGATACATACACGTGGCAGTTATGGTAAAGATCACAGAGCCGTTTCCAACACAATTTTACGGAATTTCTCGCGTAACAATTATTGAACACAAAGAGATAGTAATAAGACTGACTCAGTAGAGGCTGGGGTACCAATGAATATTAGCTGTACGTGCATTTCTGTTGAATAGTACAATAACAGTTCTAAATCTGTTCATATCTATCTATCTATCTATCTATCTATCTATCTATCTATCTATCTATCTTATTAATTTGTTTATATCTATCTATCAATCTATCTCAATTTGTTCATATATATCTATCTATTTCAATCTGTTCATATCTATCTATCTTATTAATTTGTTTATATCTATCTAATTTGTTCCTATCTATCTCTATTTGTTCATATCTATTTAAATTTGTTCATATCTATCTATCTATCTATATTTGTTCATATCTATCTATCTCAATTTGTTCATATCTATCTATCTATCTATCTATCTATTTTATTAATTTGTTTATATCTATCTATCTTATTAATTTGTTTATATCTATCTATCTATCTATCTATCTATTTATCTATCTATCTATCTATCTCAATTTGTTCATATCTATCTATCTATCTCTTCAGTTGTTTGAGTACCAATGACTATTATCAGCTCGCGCATTTCTTTTGAACAGTACAATAACAGAATGCACAGTAAATCGCTTACACGACCTTGTAGGACACAACTTATTTCTCACACTTGTGCCTCCTTTCCCACAGACTCACCTTCGTAAGCCTATCGGTACTTCCAGGGCAAATATTCAGACGAGCGACATTCTTTAGTGGTACCAGTTCAAATCCTTACCGCACAAACCATCCTTGTTACGTGCAAAATGTTGAATCCCCATCATTCCATGCGTATTGCATTGCTAAGGAAGATGTTCCACTCAGACGACATTTTTTTAAACAGACTTTCGTGTAGATGCTTCCACGAACGCGACAATCTTAAGTCTAGAGTCTATCTTTTATCTAAGACCAAATTCCTAAGAGGAATTTGGTGAACATTAGTAGAAAAAAGACCGGTAATTTTTTAATTGTATCTCGTATATTCTCACTCCACCATGGGCACCTCGAAGCAGTGTAATGGGTAGCAAGCTTGTTTCGCTAGAAAAATTACGACAGAGCAGTGAGTTCGATCATCACTGGGTACCCCATACTTTCGGCTTTGTGCCATATCTAGGCTATGCTTGGAAAATCGCTATAAGGCACCTCGAGCGGGTGTAATGATTACCAAGCTTGTCTCGCTAGAACAATTATGACTAAGTAGTGAGTTCGAACCTCATTGGGTACCTCATACTTTCGGCTTTGTGCCATATCTAGGCTATGCTTGGAAAATCACTATAGGGCAACTCGAGTGGGTGTAATGGTTAGAAAGCTTGAACAATTATGACTGAGTAGTGAGTTAATTCCTCACTGGGTGCCCTATAATTTCGGTCTTGTGCAGCATCTAAGCTATGCTTGGAAAATCGCTATTCTCACTCCACCTCAACGCTATTCTTCCTGAGGAGTATAAGGCCACGGCTCCATCAGTCTAAAGCCACAACTCTGCCACGCTAAATGTTTCTACTGTGGTTTGTGTAGCAAGCAAGATTTTATGAGGTGGGTCCAGCATTTTTAATTTAGAGTTGTTTTTCTGTTAGGCTGGTTTGCAACCATTTTGCTACGTGCTACGAGCAAGTCTGTATATTTCTTAGCCAGGATTAAATGGGCCATGAAGTGGGAGACGGATTCATACCTTAGCAAGGGTATTTGTGCGAAAGTGAACGCAACGATCTCGACTGGATTTTGAACTCAGTTCTGCGATTCCACTTTCGGCGCCGATTAACCCCTACGCTACGCATACATCCGTATATTTCATAGATGGGATTAAAGATTTGTAGTCAAGTAAAGTTTGTACTTATCGGATATTCTGGATAGATTGTTAATTCCAAACCTTTGCTCGAGTTCAGGTCAGATTGTCACATTATTCTAGACAGGATCTCTTGGGTTATCGTGATTTCTCGTAGTTTCTCGTCGTGCTATTTTCTACTTCACAATCGTTACGTTGGTCACCTTCTCAATATTGATGGATTCAAAAAACACACACACACACACACACACACAAACACACATATATATATATATGAAGAAATATAGTCTTAAGGTGTGCTATATTTATGGGATAAAGTGCTTAATATCAGAGATACAGTGTGTGTAAATATAAAAGTGAACATAAAAGTCAATACCTAGAGGCGACAGGCTGTTTCATGCTAGACGCAATCCTGGCCTGACGATTGCGTCTAGCATGAAACAGATTGTCGCCTCTTTTATATTTACACACATATATATAATACATATATATATAATACATATATATATATATAATACATACATATATATATATATATAATACATACATATATATATATATATATATATATATATATATATATATATATATATATATATATTATTTATCATTGACTATATTTACCGTCCTGAATTTTGAGAAATTTAATAGAAAATACGTGTCCTCCGACTGGAATCGAACCTGTATGCTACACGGAACTGTTATATAGTCTGACGTGCTATACAATTTAGCTACAGAAGCGTCTGGTTAGCAAAGTCAAATTACTGTTTTTAAACAACACATTTTCCATGAATTTCTCGGACGATCATATCTGCTCGAAGAGTATCTTAACGTACTTGAAGAGGGTAACAGTCTTGGGATTTAGCATTGGGATTTCCAGATCAAGAATCGGACTGGTTTTGTATCATTTGGGCACCCACACAAATTGACGTGGCTACATCTTCTTCCGGTATGCGCCCACGCAACTTCGTGTGGATCCGCATCTTCCGGCATGCGCCCACGCAAACACGCATTTCCTTCCGCTCAGGACACCTGTTAAGCCCTGTTTATTTTACTCACCGGATGCAATTCAACCAACTGTGATACTGCCTATGTCAATGCGTGCTGAATGTTTCCTTATAAGGAAACGGCTACCATTACCATTACTGCCATCACGCAGAAAGACGTTGGTTTTAAAAAGTATTCTGCAATAATATTTAATTTCATTTCATTTCATGTAGATACCCAAGGCTTTCATGCAGAAAGATGACTGATTTAAGAAGTGGTTTTCTTCTGGCTGCTCAGGAAAAACGCCATTTTTTTTTTTTTTTGAAATTTAGATTCTTCTAACAGCTTTGCAATAATACGTAACGATGTAGATACCTAAGGCTTTAATGCAGAAAGATGTCTGTTTTAAGCAGTGACTCTCTTCTAGCTGCTTGGCAATAATAAACCTTTTGTTGTTGACAGCTAGTGCTTCCATGTAGAATGATGCCTGATTCAAGAAGTGGCTTTCTTCTGGCTGCTCGGGAAAAAGTTTTTAGATACATAGTGCTTTCGCGCAAAAAGATGCCTGTTTTATGAATTGCCTCTCTTCTGGCAACTCTGCAATAGTACGCCACTTGGAGTAGATACTAAGGCTTTTATGCAGAAAGATGTCTGTTTTAGGAAGTGCTTCTCTTTTGGCTGCACGGCAATAATAAAGTTTTTGTCGTCGACAAGTTGCACTTTTAGGCCGAACGATGCCTGTCTTAAGAAGTGGCTTTCTTCTGGCACATCTTCAGTAATAGGTCATTTTTTTTAGGTATCTAATGATTTCATGCCGAAGGATGGCTGTTTTAAGGGGTGGCTTTCTTCTGGTTTCTCTGCAAATATATACTATTTTCTCTGCTGAATGATTACTAATTGTCTTCATTTGGTTTCTCTGCTATAAAAGCTTCATGACTGGACTATTCTGTACTGCTTTTTTATTATTATTTTTTTTTTATTGGAAGTCACTTTTGTACATCCGCCACTTTTTAGTTCCAAGACATCTGCAGTTGTCTCCTTTTACTTTCTGATTGTGTGAGTGATTATTAATTTTTCTTTGTTTTGCATGTTGATCTATTATTTTATTTTATTTTTGATACGGTTAATTAAGAATAAATGAATTGCCAATGAATTACACGTAACTTAATCTGTGTGACACATCACTTCGTTCGAATCGTTCTCGTTTTCGTAATGGCTGAACTTCCGCTTTGTATATTTGTTCGTCTCTTTTAGCGGGAAAGTTGTCACACTGAATACTTAATCGTCGTGATTAGCTTTGTCATTGACAAACAATTTCGGCAAACAATCAATCTTAGAAGGAGAGAGTTAAGTCGAAACTTTATTTTCTATATAATCTATTTCGTTACTGTTAACTTTTCTCTCGGAACGCTTACGAATGTTTCCTTATAAGGAAACGGCTAATTACATTTACTATTACTCTGGTCTCTCTGGGACGATATGGACAGAAAACGAGAAAAGAAAGATGAAAGAAAGAATATGACAGACAAAAAAAAAAAAAAGACAAAAGAAAGAAAGAAAGAAAGATGAGTATGAAAAAAAGAAAGAAAGAGAGAAACATGAGTCTAAAAGACAAAGAAAGAATGACTAGCGGTACAGATAGGAAGGTTAAAACAAAGAAAGATTGAAAGAAAGAAAAAGAAAAGAAGATTGATTTTTTACGGCTTATCAACACTTTGCAGGTTATTTAAAGCCAGAAAATAGTTTTGGAATCTAAGAATATTTTTTGGAGATAGTAATGATTTACTGATACAAGTCCTACTAATAAACCCATAGCATGGGGGATAAGCGGTGATTCATACCTTTCCGAAGAGAATTTAAGCGGACGTGAATATAACGAATTCGACTAGAATTAGAACCCGGCTCTCCGATTTCCATTTCCGAGTCGCTAACTATTACACCAACTGCACAACCAACTTTACAGCACCTGGTATTCCCAAGCGGTCGCCTATCTAGGTACTGACCAGGTTCAACTTTGCTTAACTTCAGTGATCATACGAGAACTAGTGTTTCAAAATGACCGTAAGCTTTAAAGGAAAGCTAAATAGCTATATAGAAAGAAAGGATAAAGGAAAGAAAGCTAGAATGATCGAAAGTTTCGTTTCGTTTTTGTTTTACGGTATATCAACCTCAATGTGTTATTTAATGCCGACAAAATTTTTATTGCTGGTAATGTTTTTCTTCAAAAATCTATTTCTGGGAATATTTTTCCTTGAAGAAATCTATAGCTGGTCATATTTTTTCCAAAGAACGTATAGCTGTTTGTATTGCTGGTATTTTTTTTTTAAAGTATTGCTGATAATAATTTTCCTTCAAAAATTATTGCTGGTATTAAATTTTTTACACAAGTTTGGGTGTTAACTATTTGCCCATATTGTTTTGACCCCACTTTGGGGGTTAACTATTTACCCATAGCTGGGACCTCCTAACAGGTGCTACCACCCCGGGTCAGGGTGGACCTTGGAACACCAGCAATTAAGAGGTGGTTCCACGCTCCTCAAAACCTCCTGATTAGAGGCCTTGCTGTTGGACGTAATTTATCATCTTACCCAGGACTCGGATGTAGTTTATTGTCATACCCAGGACGCGGATGTAGTTTATCGTCATACCCAGGACGAAGAATGATCGAAAGAAAGAAAAGAAAGTTGACTAGCGATATAGATAGGAAAAATAAAAACATATCTTTTGGCAGTTTGACAAAACACCAAATGATGTGTGTAAGCAATGACCCGTTTATAGTCTAAGTTTTACATAAACAGCCATCATTTTGTTTACTCTTTCCCTCTTTTTAGGTATGGCCTCAATTATCCCATAGTCAGTGCTTTAGAGCACATTTCTATCTAGTTCTTTTCAACATGCAAAGCTTTTTCGGGATGTCAAGGAATATCATACATCAATGCTGAAAAGCGAATGATAACTTTAAATACAAAACCAAAGAAAGTCATATTTTAACGGTATAAAAGAAAGAAAAACTAAAGATGCAAAGTAAATATTTATAGGACAGTTGGTAAGGCAGGAATTCGTCGAGTTTTCCCACCAGCTGTATATTGTAGGTTTTACTGGACATCAAATTATGGCATTACCCCCGGGTTCGAGCCGCTTCAGAGTACTCGATAGGGATCATTTCTGTTAATTCTCCCAAAAATAATAATTCACCCCAAAATAAAAAAGAATTTATATTTACTAAAATTCACACCAAATTCTCCCAGAGCGAAGCCCTTTCTCATTATGCGTCCAAGGAATTTCAGCCGACTTTTCCTGATTCTGGATAGAAATGTTCTTTTTATCGTCCTTTTCTTGAAGACTTCCTTGTTGCTTACTCGCTCCATCCATGGAATTTTCAGTATTCTTCTGTAGAACCACATTTCCGAAGACTTTAGGGAAGATTTACTCCATATAAGAGGACTAGCAGCATGGCCCGGCGTTGCCCGTGCTTGATTCAAAAATCGTACGACTCATACAGCAATCACTATCACTTGACTTAAAATATTTTTGCCCTTCTTGCCCTTAAAGGAGTGTCCTTTGCCGTGCTGATGTTGCTACATGCCTTACTTCTTGCCTATCTCACACTGCGAATTTTTTCTAAGCTCTATACTAAACATTAAATCTGTTACGAAAAAAAGAACTAAACAAAATGAACACAAAACGATCAGTTTTAAAAAAGGACTCGTAACTGGAAAAACCGAATGAAAAAAGAATGTTAACAACAAATACTTTTTCACATCCAATCCAGTTCTGCGGAATCAGAATCAACGTTGAGTTTAAGCAAGCGAATGACCCAATTGGAGTAAAGTGCCATGCAGATTTAAATTTTTCCCACTTGTGACGAATGCAGCTATCGGTTTTATTTTGCATGCTACCATGATAGCTAACATTCGAGTTAGTCAGCTGTTGGCTCTCACGCTGGCCAATAAAATATTCCTGCCTATTCGTGGCAGCCAGCTATAGGCTCTCACTCTGGCCAGTAGGAAATGGCCGCCAACTACATGAAAATTGCCGTAGAAGCATGAAAAAATCGATTATTTCCACTATCGATGAGAGTTGGGAAATGCAAAGTCGGTGTTGGCCTTTCCGCTAACTTGGAGCATGTGCATGTAAATTTTGGTGCAAATCCGTCGAAAATTGCGGCCGTGCATTCGTTACACACACACACACACACACACACACACACACACACACACACACACACACAAACACACACACACACACACACATCCTGCCTTTTATAGATAGAGATGGATAACACATACACTCCAGTTCAAACATTTGAAGCAATTGGCATAGAAGGAACTTGACAGAAGAGTTTAAAAAAAAATGAAAAAGTGTTCTTAGAGTCAATGAAAAAAGAATGGAATCAATTATCAAACTTACACTTCGAGAAACTTTTGCAACGAATGCTAAAAATTTGTGCTGCAGGA